CTCACTTTACGTCCCTAAAACACCTATCATACGGGACCTAGCATAAGGATGATCATCTAGATGGACACTACTGCTAAGGGGATTCCTCAGCAATAAATGTCCTTAAGGAAACCATGAGGGGGATGGAGTACACCGGTTAACACATCGTTGACAAACAACTACATGTTGCGAGCCTGCTAGCGTCCCACTGGACTGTCTAGAAAAGTCTGTGGTCGTCATCTATACTCTGCTAGATGACTAGAAACATCGTCAACATTGAGGCCTCTCATCATTTTATCACACATCGTCTAATTCATCTACCCATGTTTTACCCCAACATTTTTGTAGATATAAAATACATATACAATTTAAACCATTTAAAACTCATATAAAAATGTCCATCCATCATAGATATCAAGTAAACAAATAATATGCACACATAGCATGTAATTAATATAAAATATTTCATATCTATGTGTAAGATGAAAGTAACTATGAACTAACGACACGTAATTTATATTAAATACTTCATATCTATGTATAAGATGAAAGTAACTATGCACTCACTTTTTAAAACGACGACTTAAAATTCAAGCAATGCTTCGCTTCTTAACAATATGATTTCCTTCGACAAAACCTAGTATTATTACCACTAGATTTTAGTCTAATATTTATTACGACTAATTATTACTCTAGATTCATCATTAACTCAGAGTCTACTTCATGATCTATCAAGTAAGGAACAACCAGGTAGGATCATATCGGAGGTAGGGTCCGTTTGATATACGAAGTATATTGTTTGGAAATTCCACTTTAAACACCTCACTAAATCACAACCTAGACATCATTCCTGTAAGTAGATCAATCAATATAACGACTTTGAATCACTGATAAATCTTTTTTATAAGTTCATAATAACGATAAGGGTAAATTACACGAATGATCCCTATGGTTTAGGGTAACTTGCACGTTTGGTCCCTAACTTATTTTTCTAACTCGGAAGGTCCCTACTTTTTGTTTTTGTTACACACTTGGTCCCTGTCTTACATAAAAAGTCTAATTTTCCCTTGATTTTTTAATTTATTTAAATAAACACACCCTCAATCTCATCCTCTCTCCTTACCTTACCTACTCTATCGTGTTTTTCTATTTAAATAATTGTCTTTTTACTTAAGATAGGGACCAAATGCGTAACAAAAACAAACAATAGGGACCAAATATGTAGCAATAACAAACAGTAGGGACCTTCCGAATTAAAAAAATAAGTTAGGGACCAAACATGCAAATTACCCCAAACCATAGGGACCATTCGTGTAATTTACTCTAACGATAATGAACTTAAACATAAATTATACTTAAAGTATGGTAAGCATAACTCACTTACAGGGAGTTTTTCTCAAAATCGGGCTTCGCTAAAGCAGCGTTTCCAAGCTGAAAGCTCTTCTTTTCAGAGCCATTAAGAACTATAGGGCTTCCTTCTCATGCTAGGGAGTTACCATAGGCTTGGGGGGGGGGGTAGGGGGTTACAGAGAGAGTTTAGAGAGAGAAAGTAGAAGTGGGAGGTGTGAGAAATGAGCTTCACCCGACACTTCTATTTATAGGCTGGGAAACAGCCCAACTTATCGAGTAAGAGGAACTACTCGTCGAGTCCATGCCACATGTCACCATCTGCAGGCTAGCCTTGGGGAGGAAGCAACGGCTAGGATTTCGCCACGTCACCCGATTTCGTGCGGCTCATTCTCGACTTAGAAAAATCATAACTCTAGCATACGAGCTCTATTTTTGACGTTCTTTATATCCAAGCATAGGTAAAGACAAGATCTACAACTTTACTTTTGACTTCGTTGGCTAATTCTCGACCGAATTTAAATTTAACAGTAAGAGAATATTATATTGTTAAATGACCGCGTAAAATTCATAGCTTCTACATGCGGACTCCGTTTTCGGTCAACCAAGTCAACACTCAGCACGATGTGGGAACCCCTTGGCCACGTCATGGGAATCCCATGACAAAACAGTTGCGAAGCAGAGAAACACCACATCATGGCAAGCCTATTGTCATGTCGTGGGAACTGGGAAATTACCATATTCTTCTTTAAGTGCTTAATCCTTCCAGATCTAAAAGCATAACTTCAGATCTACTTCTTTTTAATGATTTAATGGATAAAATTTCCAACTTTATCCATTAGGACTCCACTATAAAACTAGATCTAAAATCCTAAGTCCATTAAGTCCTTAATGGGATCAAAACTTGAGCATGGACACAAGGGACTCCAATCATGGCTTGTTTTCTCCTTCTTTTGAACATAATGACCATTAGATACCATCCACAAGCTCTAGAGTTCTTCAACTCCCAAAGCATCCAATAAAGGGACCAAAATCCTTTAAAATGAGCTCATACTTGAAACGAGAAAAATAATGGACAATGTATGGACTTTATACCTCCAACAACTCAGATTTTTGAAGAGGATGTTGGATCCAAGCTTGCCTCTTGATCTCTTTCTTCCTTGTGACTTACTTCTTTCTCAAGTTCCACCAAAAATCGAAGAAATAAGCTTCAAATCCAAAGAACAAGCTCTCAAATCTTCATGGAGGCTCGGGTTTTGTTTGGAAGGGTTGGAGGCTAAAGAGGGTGCCCTAATCCTTGAGATTAGGTGTTTAAATATGGAGAAAACCATAAAAATCATGGGCTTCGGCTGCAACCGCTGCCACGTTATGGTAGTCATCCAGAGACGTGTTTCATTCATTTGGCATGCCACATCGTGGTGCTCCAATCACCACGTCGTGTCACAACTTTTTTCCCAAAAACGTTACCTCTAATCCTTCAAATCCCTCCAGCGATCCCTCGCGGAAAATAGGCGTTACACTTTTTTGGGTAAAAGAAAGTTACTTATAACATAATTTCACATGTTAAAAACAAAAATGTTATAACATATCAAAAATGTTATACTAACAACTTACAAACATGATTTTTTTTGTTAAATTTTAGAAGCTCAAAATCATTACTATTATTTATTATACTTTTTATATATATATATATATATATATATATATATATATATATATATATATATATATATATATATATATATATATATATATATATATATATATATATATATATATATATAGTGGTTCAAATGAGAACCAAAAAAGGTTAAGAACCTCTAACTTTAGATGTTTATAAAGGGTTTAGGGTAACCCTAAACCCTAAACCTTAAACCCTAAACCCTTAACCCTAAACCCTAAACCTTAAACCCTTTATAAACATCTAAAATTAGAGGTTCTTACGGTTCTTAACCTTTTTTGGTTCTCATTTGAACCTTTATATATATATATATATATATATATATATATATATATATATATATATATATATATATATATATATATATATATATATATATATATATATATATTAACGGTGCCCCTATTGAGGGTTCGGGAAGGGACTTCCACCCCCGCCCCTGCTCCCGAAATTAAGACTGTGGGTTAACGTTGTTCCGATCCTTGACCTTGCCCTTGATTTTTTTTAACAAATATTCCTCATATGGGCTCGGGGTCCCACAAGACTTTTTGACGTCGCTAGCCAGTTCTGCCATGGAATGGTAAATGCACCTTAGAGCGTTTTCGAGGAACGGTGGAACCTTTTGGAGTACATGATAGAATTCAATAGTACAAATATGATCATTAATGTTGTGAGTTCGGATAACATAGTGTCCAAGATATGGTTGCGAGTTAGGGTTGGAAAAGTTAAAGTGGATGCCTGAGAGGTCGTCCCCATATAATGGCCATGGCATTCTTTGCTTAGTTTAGTTTTCTTTTTTATGATTGTTTCTCGCCTTTCATTTGTTAATTGTGTTCGTCTCCTTGGTAGGGGAGACCTAGAAACTTTTCAAAAAAAAAAAAAAAAAAAAAAAAAATCTACAAAGTAAAAACGGATCTAAAATTTTAAGGGGTCAAAACAAACTTAATTAACATTTCCTATAAAAATATTTTAAGGGGAAAATTATATTATTTTTGAAAAAAAAAACAAATTTTAATTATTGTTTTTGTTGTGGGGGCTGCTGGCCACCCAGTGTAGGTCCTGCTCCTTGGTGTTGTTTTGTTTTCTAAATCTTACTTGTTTGTGTTTTTGTATTCTTTTTTTTCTTTTAAAAATACAAAGTATGTGTTCTGTACAGAGAGCTTTTAGTGTTTAGCGTTTGACAAAACATTCCATGTTGAACAAAAAACCTTGTTTCGCACTAGAAACTTGTAATGTTTAGTTTGAACAAAACGCTCCAAATCTAAATGCTATTTCATGTAACCTTCAACAAAACACTACAAGTTATCTGCTACCTGCAACCTGCTACCAGCTAAATTTTGCCGAACACTCCCAAGTACAAGTTAAGGTTTTGGGTTGTTTTGATCTTATGGTTGCAGGCCGGATGTGTTCATTTCATTGTAGTTCAAAAAAACACTCGTTTCTTGTTTCTCGAATGCGGACTATTTTTTGCTCTAATAAATAGAATTGGATTCGTTATAAACTTATAATATCCATTAGCAAGTTTTTCAATATGATATATCCGCCCATTAAAAGTAGGTTGCATAGTTTAATTAAGGAAGTTTATGCCACGATGGCATGGAGTAGTCCATATTAACACACATATGTGTTGGAAAGATGTTAGAGATTCAAGATTCGTAGTTTACAGATCGGATTTAAAGTGTGTGGTTTAGCTCTTTCAAAAAAATATATATATTAATTAACGTTATGGTTTTATAAAACAATCAATAATGATCTTTTGTTAAAACATATAACAAGATTATAGATGTATTTTGGTGTTGTATTAGAGGTTTATTTATATATATATATATATATATATATATATATATATATATATATATATATATATATATATATTTTAAATTTTAAATTTTACATGTTGCTGACGTGGGATGATGTTATGAACCTTTAAACGAAGTGCAACACTCAGAGATATACTATAGAAACAATTATAAAAAAAAAAAAAAAAAAAAAAACCTCTATAAAACAAAAAGATGTTACATGACTTGATATAATACGGATTATGTGATCAAAATAAACATGAACATATTTATAAATGATGAAAAAATATATATAAAAAAGGTACCATGGTCGTTACCTTCCATGTACTTCAGTGATCTGGGATTTATCCGTTGACTTAGAAACCGACTTGCTAGTTGACGAATCTGAGTGTCTTTTTGGAAGATAATGTGCGGTTCTTGTGGGAGTTGGAAGAGAGATGGAGTAATTGTTGAGAATGTTTAAAACATAAGCCATTGAAGGCCTTGCATCCACATCTTCTTGTACACATAGTAACGCAATGTTGATGCATCTCATGACTTCATCTTTAGAACAAGTTTCAACCATTGTTGGATCCATAAGCTCCATTGCTCTTCCTTCTATCCAGCTTTTCCAAGCCTTCAAGGGACATAACCATATGTATAAATTATAAATATCTTTATGTATAAGAACTTAAGAATGAGAATATGTTAAAACTTTAAATATAATTAATATGTATTTACGATTAGTTTGTACAACCATTGTTGGAAGGAGATTAATATATATAATAGGGCAAGAAAAAAAAAATTAGGAGTAAAAACTTACAAAATGTGGAAGATCCTCATGATTATTTTCGGTATAAAAGCGTGAACTTCTTTTCCCTGTGATGATCTCAAGAACAACAATGCCAAAAGCAAACACATCTGATTTCGCCGAAAAATGTCCATGCACTGCATACTCAGGGGACATGTAACCGCTGTAAAAACATTCGACTCACTTTCGTTAATCTTAATTACTTGAAATGTTAATTTGATGACACTAAAATCAACAACAACAATAATAAGTTGAAAACTTACTATGTTCCCACAATCCTATTAGTATTTGCTTCAATTTGATCCACTCCCACGATTCTCGCTAGACCAAAATCGGAAATCTTGGGGTTCATATCCAGGTCTAGCAAGATATTGCTAACTTTGAGATCACGATGAATGACTTTTAAACGTGAATCTTCATGTAAATATAACATTCCTCTTGTAACCCCTAATACAATTTTGTAGCGTTTTGGCCAATCTAATTGCCCATGTCTATTTGGATCTGTATTAAAAAAATACATTAGACACACAAACAATTTCGTATACAAAAAAAGTTTGAAAATAGTTGAATTCGGTGTTTTGACTTACTGAAGAGAAAGTAGTCGAGGCTTTTATTGGATACGTATTCATAGATGAGTAATTTTTCATCCGCATCAAGGCAAAACCCTAAAAGCCTCACGAGGTTTCGATGTTGAAGCTTTGCCATTAAAATGACTTCGTTTATGAATTCTTGTGAACCTTGTCCCGATGATTTTGATAGTCTCTTCACTGCCACCTCCATCCCATTGGCTAGAACACCCTGCATTGCAATATGTGGTTCTATTATAATTAATTAAATGAACAATCAAGTGTAACATTTAATCTTTAAGATCCAAATATTATATGGAAAATAATAATAATAATAATATACCTTATAAACCGGACCAAACCCGCCTTCACCAATTTTTTTTCCATCAAAGAAATTATCCGTGGCTGCTTCAATTGTGGCCAGATCGAATTGTAGAGATCCTAATGTACCCATTTCCATTTCAACTACATTTATATTTAATTAATAAAACAATTAATTATTGAGCAACAATTAGAATATAATCTAATAATCAATTACTATGCTTATACCTGACCCAACTTGCGATAAATTGGAACTGTGGTTGTGATTTTCGCTCATAACTAGAGACGAAAACGCAGTAGTCCCGCTTTCTTTTTTTGTAGCAGAATCAACAGGAGCATTTATATTATTCTTTGATCTCCTTTTTATGAAAAAATATAACCCGATAATTATGAGCATCCCAGCGACAACACATGCAACAGGAACGATGATGTAAATACTCTTTGACGACTTTCGTTTTTTTCCTGCATGCATGCAAAATTTAACATTACTTATTAATTACGAACAAAAAAAAATGTTTATAGATAATTAATATATATACGTCCACATCTTAATTAATTGTTTTCTTCATCATATCTTAATTAATCCTCAGTGTTTCAATGTTTATCTATAGTCGTAAAAGTATATTATTTATAGTTGCTAAAGTAACTTTATTTATAGTTGTTTTCTTTATTATATCTTAATTAATGCTCAGTGTTTCAATGTTGATCGTCGTCAAGGAATATTTTTGAAAGACTTTGTGAAGTTTGTTTTATTAACAAATATTTCAAATAAGTATATTTATAACGCATATGTACATGTGTGTTATTCGCTATATATAAAAATTAATTTTCTAAAAAGGTATCAACTCCACCTAATACAACAACATACAAACTACAAAGTAGTCACTATCCATTATATACTCGTAATTAATATTTTTGGTCAGATATAAATTAATATCTAATTACAACTTGTGATTAATTCAGTTTTTATTGGTTGCAGTTTGCTATAGCATCTTCATAGTTCACACTCTTTAATTTCTATAGAAAAAAAAATCGAGTAACTTTTTATTTATGAATTTGTATATGTTTTATATGGGTAAAAGATTTACTTTAGACATGATTTGATATAATTTATTTGTATATGTTATCTTCAACTTAATGATTATTTGTCTTTACAGCAAGGACATGCATTGCTTCAAGTTCAATAGTCCATTTGTGTAATCATTATAGAATATTAGTAAGACAACTTGACGAAATGTTCATTAATTCATTGCCCTAATTATTGTAATTAGTTTCTGTATCAAAAACAAATTAATAATACAGACAAATGTTACATTATTTAGAAATTATAACGTATTAATTAATAGATTTTTATGCAAGAAACTTACTCCCTAATCACTATATAAATTTTGAACCTATGATTTAAGTTTTTAATTAGAATTTGAATAATCAGTTTCTGGTTTAAGTTAAAATTTTATTTACTTATATTTATACATTTACAATTCAATAATACAGAAAGATTTAAAATGGAATTCTTTAAACACAAAAAATGCGACACGTACCTGGAACTGCCGGCGAGTTTGTTGAAGACGGCGGCACAGACGGCAGCGTGATAGCCGGAGGATTATTATAAAACGACGCATTCGAGTACCTAACGAAACAACTCGGATAAAAAACACCGACATCAATGTCGCCGTCGCAGCAGCCTTGAGCCTCCCGGAATACGATCGACAAGCACGAATTGCAGTCAAAAGAAGATAAATCCGGCAAACACTGCACCATAGCGTAAATCTTCGACGGATCTGTCCCAAAACCGACATCTCCGGTGGCGAACTTCCGAAGGGAGTTTCCTCCGGCAGCTTCCACTCGTAATCTTCCTACTAAATCTCTCAACGTCTTGCCGAAAACGTCAATATCCGATGCGTTTACGGAGCTTGAGACATCGGCGCTAGGACGCTCCTCGAGAACTGAAGAATAAGTACGATTTGTATAGCGCACAGTACAATTCAAGCTCCAAATGAGGGCTTCTATATTGTTAGTACAGGTCTGTCTTAGCAGGAGAACTGTGTTGCTGATACAATCCTTACATGTTTCCGATGCAACATCGCCGCGGCAGAGAGCAAAGGCGTTGACGGTGTTTGGACTTACGCCGGCGGAGGTATTGTAGAAACCGTAGCGCGTGGAAGCGGCGGAGGGTAGTGAAGCAAGGGCGGTTTTGAGATTTGATTCGTATGTGGAGTTATTCGTAAAATTACCGTTGTCTCTGCATCGGAAAATAGGGAAATCGTTGATTTGGCCGGCGGCGAGATGAAGGAACTGCAGCAACAAAAGTAGAAGAAAATTTTGAATTATGAAATTTGATTCCATTGTAAATGGAATTCTATTTGTTCTTTTTTCAAATTGAACACTTATGTATTTATTCTTTACGAACGTGCTACTCATGTTGTTAAATGTAATATATATGTTATAAAGTAAATTGCATGTATGGTGCCTATCGTTTGTCTAAATTCACAGCTTTGTTCCTAGTATTGGATTTTGACTTGGTTGGTCCTTGTACTTTGCATTTGTTGCATTGTTGGTTCCGACTATTCTTTTTTTTTTTTACACAAAAAAAAAATCACAAAATAGTTAAAAAATTTTAAAATACCAAAAAAAAAAAAAAATTAGAGATCTAAAAAAAATCAACTTCAAACTTTCATAATTCTTTTATACGAATTCCGTGTGAGCTGTATTTTTTTCCATTATGTTTTTTTAACAAATATTTTTCATTGACATATTCCACATGATCCTAAAGGAATACAAAATTCTTGATATAAAGAAAAAGAAAATGATAGTATCAACAGATGTAAAATTTGTTGAAAATATATTTCCACATGATAAAAAAAAAAAATTGAAAACTGAAAATGAAGAAGGCGAAGCTTTTTTAGGTACCCACATGGCACCATGAAAACTCTACTGATGAAGAAATCATTGAAAATGAAGAAGATAACCAAAGTGAATGAGTGGGCTATGAAGAAATTAATGTGTCTCAAAACATGCATGATGATAATTTACCCATATGCAACATGACATTGACAGTGGGAATGTGAATTCAAATGGTGTGCATATGGAGTCAATAGAAATTAATGTTGAGAATCCGAAACCCACTAGAGAAATAAGAAATAGGTTGCGACTGGCTTATCTTGACGACTACATTGTCAACTTACCATCAACCATAGACCAATCGAGACTCCTCTACGGTACATTCTATAGCCAATTTCACTTCTTACGAGACTCCTCTACGGTACATTCTATAGCCAATTTCACTTCTTACGAAAAATTTACTTATTCTCATAGAGCACTCCTAACAGTGATCAACACCAATGATAAGCACAAGAGTTTTAACCAAGTCATATATAATGCAAACTAGAGAGAAACTATAAAGAAGGAAATACGAGCCACTGAATAAAACGATACATGGACCCTTGAAGAATTATCGAAAAGGAAGCATATGTAACGTCCCAAGAACCATAATAATTATTATTATTTTATATATATATATATATATATATATATATATATATATATATATATATATATATATTCCATAAAACATAAGTCCCCAAAACATTGTTTCACAATCATATCATAAAATCAGAGTATAAAAATTATATATCTTAAAACATAACGATTATTGGATAATGTGAATAATCACGCCTTTGCATTGCTCCGATCCTCAAAAGTATCTAAAAATTTTAAATCCACAATTGTAAATCAAAGTTTAATGAGTCCATACATGTAATCACAACAAATCTATCAGTCTAACACATCACTACAACACATCAAAATCCTAACACACAAAAGATACATAGAGTAGTACAAAGCATAGTGAGGAAAACTCTCTGCACAGACGAGTAGACAAAACTATAGCTCATGCCGAAGTAAAGACTAGCACTACGAACCACCTAGTTCCAACATCAGTTAATAACAAAGCCTCATGTTAACCAAAAGGTCAACGGTCGAGTCACCATACCGTAGCTAACACAATGGTCGCGTCGTGGGAATTAGTTCCAACAAGTTAATTGATTAAGCTCTTAACCCTTAATCTCCAAAGCTCAAAACGTCGGATTTGGTCGTTCCAAAGGCCTTGATGGATAAAGTTTCCATCTTTATCCATTAAGTCATCCCAATAAGTCAAGATCTCTAAACCTAGGATCTTAATGGATGCACCAAAGGTATGGACACCAAACTAATTCATGCAAGCCATCTTTCTAACCACCATCATGGTCTAAAAGCCATAAAATGCACTCAAGGGTTCTGGAGTTCTCTCAAACTCTAAGAACAAGAATATCTGGTCCGAAAAGCTCATAAAATGACATAACAATATATCTAGAGAAGTAATGAGCAAGATAGCAACTTTATACCTCTAAATGGTTAGAAATGTGATAGAGATAATAAATCTAAGCTGGAACCAAGCACACAAGCAACAAGAGATGCTCTTTTTTCCTTCACCCTTCACAAAAATAGGCCCACGCACAAGGAGGCTAGGGTTTTGGTGGAATACGATCTCAGAGGATGGAGGTTGCTAAATAAGGAAACACTGGAGTTTGTGCCTTTAAATAGGGCACTAATCCAGGGATCTAGGGTTTTGAACCCAGTCACCACCACCGCCACGGCGTGGCAATCATCTCCATGTCGTGGTGCCTCGCATATACACATCAAGTAAATTGGAAATGTCACATCGTAGTCCCTCCACCACCACATTATAGCCAGGCCAAAACCTTACAAAATTATATTAAACGATTCAAACTCGAAAGAAGCATACCTAGAAAGCGGATGTTACATCACGATTGATTTAAAATGGATATACAAAATAAAATAAAACCCAAATGGAAATATAGAAAGATACAAGGGGATGTTGGTAGCAAAGGGTTTTATTCAAATGGAAGGCATTGATTTTCATGACATGTTCGCACCGTGTAACATCCCAAAAATCATGACCAAAAAATTATATTTTTGATATAATGATTCATAAAACAATTTTAAGAAAACATCATCAAGTTACTTCATTTCATAAAAACCATAGATCATATGTCTCAAAAGCAATGCATATAAAGTAACAATGTTAGAGTACGAATCCCAAGAATCTCATATGCGGAAAATCATGTGTGTGCGATGCGTTGCTACCATGTCGGTTCCTTTCCCTTCGCGGAAGAAGTACCTGAACCCAAAAATGAAAACCGTAATCACAAAGCTTAGTAAGTTATCCCATCATACCATGTGACATCCCCAAAATCACGGCCAGAAAAGACTGGTTTAATTTATGCTTTTAAAATGATTTCAAAGTAATCCTTTGATTAAAAGAGTTGCGGAATTTGTTCCTAAAACAAAATATGATAAAATAAGATTTACCAAAGCATTTCTTAAAGATATGTATTTTTCATTATATTACAATACTCGGGATGTCATGTTCCGATAAACAGACCAAAAGCATAAACATTTCCATACAGACCTTATAACAGTTAAATATAACAACAGGTCTATAATCCAAAAATAACTTGACAAGTCATCCAACTTATGCTCTGGCGCCACTACCTGTAATACAAAGAAAACTGAGTGGGTCAGGCTTGGGGCCTGGTGAGCATATAGGGTTTTCAACCCACAATAAATAATTATATTTAATTCCACCAACTAACAATAACCCAATTACCATTCCCGTTATTCTCACTTTACATCCCTAAAACAAATAACACAAGGGACCTAGTCTTACAATATTTCATCGGGGTGACAACACATGCATTCGGGGGTTTCCCGGCAATATATGTCAAATAAGGCAACCATGAGGGGGATGGAGTACAACGAATGAACACCGAAGTTCATTAACACCTACAGGTGACGAACCTGCTAGTGTTCCACATAACTGTCTAGAAAAGTATGTGGTCGTCATCTAAACTCCGCTAGATGACTGAATAAAAAACAACATCGAGACCTCTCATCTGTTTATCACACAACTATCTACCCATGTTCTACCCGACATATTAGTAGATAAAAATATATATTTTTATACATAGTTTAAAACCTGTATAGCATTCTCATTCAATACATATTCCAAAAAGCAGATGAGACACATACACATAACACGGTTTAACGAACTCAAATCGAGTATTCGGGCTGCATACTGCTAAGTCGAAACTTCGAAAAAATCATAACTTCCTAATACGAAGTCAGATTTGGGCGTTCTTTTTATGTACGCTCTCGGTTTAACGAACTCTACGACTTTCATTTAGATCACTAAGGCTAAATATCGCTCTAACGTAAATTTCACTTTTTACGTCATTCAGCGTTGCCGGTTCTGTCGCGAAACTTCGACAGGTCATAACTTCTTCATTATAACTCGGATTTTGGCATTCTTTATATCTTCGAAATCCTTGTTTCGACCACTACATCCTTATTCAAAGATATCAGGCTTATCTCACACTTTAAATTTGACGCTTATTTTATTCTTAATTCATTAAATTATCATAATTAAGAAAATAAACACATAATTCACATAATACTCAAATATTTCATCATTAATACTTCAAAAAGAGTTACAAGGGTTAACCTAGACTATTACATCAATGATAATGCCTATCCTGGAAACGCAGGCGTTACAATTCTCCCCCCCCTTAGGATGATTCCGTCCCCGGAATCACACATCAACAAACAAATGCGGATAGCGACTCAACATGTCACTCTCCGTTTCTCAAGTGAGATTTGACCAATTCAAATGTTTCCAACAGACAAACACTAATTCAACCATCTTGCATCGAAGCTTCTTAGTCTTTCGGTCAACAATTGCCTCTAGTTCTTCAATTAACCTCTTGTTTTCATCAATTCTCAATTCAGAAATTGGAATTATATCGGGAACTTCTCTCGTGAACTTCCTCAAATAACACACATGAAAAGTGTTGTGAATACCATCCAGTTCTTCTGCTAGTTCGAGCTTGTAAGCTTGGTTCCCAATTCTCTGAAGAACTTTAAACAGTCCAATAAACCTTAGACTCAACTTTCCCCTTTTACCAAATCTTATAAGTCCCTTCCATAGTGAGACTTTAAGCAAAACCGAATCTCCAACTTCAAAAGTCATCGGCCTTCGCTTCTTGTCAGCATAGCTCTTTTGATGATCTTGAGCTGCTAACATTCTTTCTCTAATTATTTTCAACTTTTCAGTGGTTTGATGGACCATCTCGGGCCCCATAAACTGATTTTTCCCAGCCTCAAGCCAACAAGACGGCGTACGACACTTTTGTCCGTACAAAGCTTGATAAGGTGTCATCTTTATGCTCGAGTGGAAACTATTATTGTAGGAAAATTCTACCGAAGATAAATGTTCATCCTAATTACCTTGGAATTCCAGGGTACATGCTCCCAGCATATCTTCAAGTGTTTGTATAGTTCGTTCGCTCTGACCATCAGTCCGTGGATGGTAAGTTGTACTTAAAC